TAAAATTAAAATTGCTGAAATTCTAAAAATCCTCCTTGTTTCTATAATTAAAACAAATTCAAGACCTTCAGTAATGGTGATTACGTACTCCCATAAGAGTGAGACCACCTCACCCTTACTGATAAGCAAAACCTGAAGTAACACTGTGAGCTGAGTTGTATACCAACCATCTTTCATCTCTGTTAATCACACTTCAGACCCAAAATACCATTGGGAGACAGTGAACAAATTCTAGTGTCTCAGTCTTGTGGAAACTGATAACTTTCAAAGTGGATACAATTCCTTCTGCCTTTTATAGTAATACTGTTATTGTAGCTTGCTGCTACAGTATTTTTTTGACTATAACTTAAAATACTTTACTTGTTTTAAATAATGGATCTGTTCTTTCCTGGTAGTTCTTCCCATTTATAGGCTCATTAAAAAGAATAAAATCAGATGAAAAAGAATGAGGGCTTGTACTGCTTTTCATATTACACAGTATGCTCCATTAAAATAAATATCCTGCTGATGTGGATTTCTCCACAGTATCACATCTCCACAGTATCATATTCACCTTATGTTTCCCTTTTTTAAAAGTTTATTATGCACCAGGGCAGAGACTGTAAATATTATTTAACATTTTTCAGATGCTGCTACTATAACATTTCCCTGGTGATAAAGTTTCATAGGAAAAAAAAATTAAATATGTCTTGCACTTTTAGGTTCTTGGGAAGGTAAATAAACAGGAATATTGTCATTCTTTAGCAACTGTGTTTTAGGCTGTGTTACTTTCCCCACAGAACACCCCTTCACGCAGCAGCCTTCGCGGATCACGTGGAGTGCCTCCAGCTCCTCCTGAGTCACAGCGCACAAGTGAACGCTGCGGATCACGCAGGGAAAACACCTCTCATGATGGCAGCTCAAAACGGTCACGTAAGTGCTGTAGGTAAGTACATTCTTGCCTCTCGTCATCTCAAAGGGTGAGTTCTACTGCAGTTACTATCCCAAATAAGTAGTCATTTTATTTTCCTGTGAAAACTAAGGAAGAAAAAGAAATTGTGTGGATGTCTGTAGGAAGCTACCTTTACATCTGTAAAAAAATTCTTTTTCTTCTCAGTCATTGTTACTCAGCAGTCTTGGTGAACATTTGCAATAATAAACTTGAGTCTTATTTCCTCCTAAGAGCTCACTATAAAGAGCATGAGGGGAGTAGTAATTCTATTCTCCTGTTTACTTCCTTGACTTTATGGAGCAGTAGAACTGCATGCATGAAAAAGATTATGTAACCTTTTTTTCCACTCTGTTATAGGAAGTCATGTTCTTAAAATGGCCGCCACCAGCAGCTGCTTTTCCATGGTGGACTGTATACTATAGACATCCAGATGAGGGTCATATTGGCTTAAGAGCCAAGAGCCCTGTTCCCTAGCTTCAGCAGCACAGACTGCAACCTAAATTCTTTATATCCACTTAGTCCTCTCAAAGCAGGATCCACAGTTGCTCTCAGGAGAAGGTGATTCAGGAAAAACTTGATGATCTGCAAATGGGGAAGTTGATAAATAAATTAAGATGAATGTATGTTTGACAGTTAGGGCACAGTGAATGAGTTGTTAGCTCTGCCTTTGCTTCCTGATTAACTGCACAAGATTAGTTTGTTCTCATTTATTATTTTTTCCCTTGTGTTCATAAATCCTACATCACATAAAGGCTTAATTGATTAGCATGTGTGAACATTTATACTGAAATAGTAAATTTTTCCCTCTATTTTTTACATGTTCGTCTGCCCATTGGGTTTGTTTGTTGGTAACAATTCTATACCTCAGACTTCTTGGTGAACATTGCCAAGGCTGACCTGACATTGAAAGATAAGGAGTTGAATACGTCTTTGCACTTGGCTAGCAGTAAAGTAAGTTGAAGACCTCTGTATGCTTCTGTTCTTTTCACAATCTGTCTGTAGGTGTGTGTGTGTTTTCTGCTTTTAAAAAATTCTTCTACAATGGAAATGTGATGGTCAAGCTTGTGGTGAGGAAGGGAGCATTGTTTCAAGGTTTAGTAAATTGAGAAATATGGATGCTTCTTATGACAGCTGAAACATGAGGAAGAGAAACTAAGCGAAATAATGGAAAATCCTTTGAGATTTTACCAAGTAATCTCACTGTAAAATATTTTAACATAGGTTCAGTGGCAAATTAAAATAAAAAATAAGGTATTAATTCTTTTTTCTTATTCTTCAATTTCTGTGGAAGGAACCAAAAATTTTCCCTTATGAGCAGTAAAACCAGAGGCATTGATTAGATTGGTGGTGGTGTCTGTTCCCACTCTTTCTTCCCCTTAATTCCAGTTGCTCCTGCTGTTTCTGCAAGAAAAAATGCCCATGGGATTCCCTCTCCTGGGCCTTTTCTTTTGCTCCTACCCACAGAGTGGATTCCAGAGTGACAGTATCACTCCAGTTCCTCCAGACACATGAGCCTTGCTGAATGCTCAAGGTCCTTCAGGCAGCTGTTCACCTGCCAGGGCTGTAGGCTCGGCACCTGCGACTTGCTGTGCTGAAACAGGATCAGAAATAAGGCCCGGATCTGTATTGTTTCCAAAGTTTCACTGCTAGACCTCTCACACTGAAGGGATTTTGTAGCAGCTTATTAGTAATACAGAAAGGCATTTACAGGCCCAGAAAATATAGTGTTAGTTTTTGAGATTAAACCATCTCTTTCTATGTTACTATACATTTCCAATAAATAATCCATTGAACGCTCTCTCAAGAGAAATAGCAGTCTTCTCTGACAGCTGAGGAGGGTTGAAAGACAGGTGAACGTCTAAATTTCTAAATATGGTCAAGCATCCTGGCAGTGGTGTTTTGCAGATGGTATTTTAAGGCTTCTACAGTTCACCCACTCCACATCCTTATAAGCTGAGTAGCATGTTTTGTATTTCAAATTATTAAATTCAAGTTATTTAAATTTCAAGTTATTAAATTTCATTTTTATATGCGACATTTCTTTTGCCTCAATTTCAAACTCCTCAGCAAAATAACAGTGTTTTTTTTCCCAACTACAGGGTCATGAAAAATGTGCCTTGTTAATACTTGACAAGATACAAGAACAGAGCCTTATTAATGCAAAAAATAATGCATTGCAGACGTAAGTATAGCCTGACCCTTTCAAGTTTAGTTGACTTAACCAGAAAATTCCGATTTAGGATTTCAAATTAATCTGTTTTTTTCATAGAACAAAAAAGTTAATTCCTATTTTTTGAGTGCTTGCCCTTGAAAAGACCAGATTTTGATTCCTTTGATGACAGTTCTATATATGGTCTGGTGGAAAAATAATATGAGGTCATTTATTTGAAGACTATATAAAAATGTCTATTAATCCTGTGAATGTGCAGGTGCACATCTGGCATCTCGTAGCTTTTTGAGCTTCACCTTACATCTAAATAATTTATTTAGACTTAATGTGGTACATTTAATTTTCAGAGCTTTTTTTTAGGTGGTATTTTGTATGCAACTGCCATCCATAACACACATTATCAGCAGGTAGAGCCATCAATATTCTTACTCCAGCTGCAACTGCCCAGCTGGGGGAATCCCACAGGAGAAGATGAGTTCGGGTGGCAGATCATCTAGTGCTTGCAGAAGAATTCATTATTCCACATTAGCCCTTTTTCCCCTGCTTCCAATAGGAAATTGTTTTTCCTGTCCCACTAGCTGTCCCCGAACAGCAGCATTGGGTGTTGGCCCAGGAAGGGAGCAAACCAGTGGTTACTTTTAATGTCCAGCTGCTCTGCAGTAACAGAGATTAGCAATCGAGTATTCAAGGATAAAAAGGCAATGCAATAATTTTGAACAGTCTGTAGGAGACAGAATGAAGGATGGAACAAAGGCATTTCCTCAGTCTTAGATTAATTTTCCTTTTAAATGTCAGTTATGTTCTGCAAACAGTGGAAAAATGAGAGCTTTTTAAAGAAAGTCTTTAGACTGGAAAGTATTAAGCAATGTTTGTGAATGTAAAGGTAATTTTATTAGTCTTGCACATCTTTTTTCTAGATGTGGAACATGAGGATTATTTTAAAGGCTGTAATATAATTTAATGTCTACAATATAATTGTAATTATCCAAAAATGGAAAACATTCTCTTTCTGATGCTGGGTATGCTTTAAGTGTTACCTAAGTCTTTTTAGAAAGTCTATTTTAAACTGGACTTGAATTTAGTTTTTATGTTGTTGTAGACCTCTCCATATTGCTGCACGAAATGGCTTAAAGATGGTGGTTGAAGAGTTGCTAGCCAAAGGGGCATGTGTCCTAGCAGTAGATGAAAATGGTAAGTAAATAATATACTTTGGCAATCTTCAGTAGGACCCAACAGGTAATTTTACAACTGACCAAAGCAGTAGACTTAGAAGCTGATGGTAGACATCACTGATGCTTTTATCCTTCCAAGAACAGACAATGAGCTGTGTGAGTACCTATTAAAACAAAAGATACTATTTATTTTTCTTTAATATAAAAATGTATTTAAAACATCACGGTGGTCCCTTTTACTGTTCATTTTGCATGTACTGTCAACAGCTAGTCTTTTTTAATGCTTGAGTGCAGTGGTAACTTGAATTTCCTAAACATGCAAGTGGCACCGGATAATTCTGACACCTTGCAGAAGAATTAAGGATTTTGCATTCCATCAGCGCATGTTTTAATGGGTAGGAAGAAAACCATCAACATTTGTTTGATTGTGTCCTAGTTCATTCTGAGATCAAAGCTTGTGCTTACCAATTGTCTGACCTAATCCAAGATACAAATAAATTACTGTTGCCTCATAAAATACATGTTTAGTTAGTGAATCTGGTAATTTTGTTTCAGATCTCAGTGAAGTCCTTCCTTAAACATTATAAAGCCCACACAGGGCTGTGCTTCTATAGTTAATGTTTTCAGAAATGTCTTCTTGAAATAAGCTGGTCATTCTTATACTGACTTCATGGCATTAGTGTAACAATTTGGTACCTCCATCTTCTCATATCTGTAACGTAACAATAATAGTACTCACCCATCACTGCCAGACATTTGAGATCTATGGATGAAAAGAACTGAGTGGTGAGTATTTACTACTAACCAGAAGCTACCTAGATATACTTGCATGAATGAGTTCCACTGAAGTTATCTGGCCATAACCTCATTTTGCAGATAGGAGACAGAAAAATGAACCAGAGTGGCTTCTAACCACAGTTTTTATCATTAAAATTGTACATACTGATCCAGCTAATTTGCATGTATATAACGAGTGAACATTAAGTTTAAATTTGATACACACTTAATTTTCCTAGGAACATCTGCAAGCACAGTTTAAAAGAGAGCAATTTAAGTACAATCTTAGTACTAAGTACAATTCTAAAGAATATTCATGCTTGGAACTCAGTGGAAGAGGAAATTCCATTTAGGGTATGCATTCCCTGCAGTCAGTGCTTACTTGTGGGCAGTTTGCTACAAAACTCTGCTCACGTTTGCCCACCAAGCTCATCTACACGGCAGACCTTCTTGGCTTAATTGAAGCAGTAGGATGTCAGCAGCGGTCATTGCCTCAGAGCACTATTGCTCTAGCATTTGAGATTTAGCCATCTTCAAAAGAATTTGTTTGCTCTTAGTATAAAGGAGGATTTGTTGGAAAGCGCAGGAGTACTACACAGCAGCCTGCAAAATGCATAGATAGCAAATGCAATCAGCACACTGGTTTCCAAGATTTGTGTACCTGAAGAGCTGCTTTAGGGGCAGCGCTTGGACAGGAGCCACATTAAACTGCAGTGAGTGAAGACAAACTTTTAATAGTTCCCCAGTTCTTTGTTTCACTGACACCTGTAGCATATTAATTTTGTATTTAAAGTGTATGCCATGCTTTCTGAATATAGACATTATTCTTCTAACACCATGTAAATTTGAATAACTGAACACCCACGTGGTTATACCTGCTATACATGTACCACATGCACTGGTCTAATTCTTTCCGCTCATAATTTAATTCCTAAATAAACTGCTGAGTTGGGTAGATGCTCAACTGATCAGTCTTTAAAATCGTTTGCTTATTACTTCAAAATGTTTTTAAACTAATATCTTTTATTTCTAATGAAAGTCATTGTTCTCAGAATGACACTTGTTCATACGCACAGGAACTGAAGCCAGTTCCTGTCCCTGCTGCTGTACTCCCCGTGTTCTGTATTCATCATACTGTCTGTGCCGTAAACTGTGTTTAGCAAGTGCTTTAATTCATATTGTGAAGTATGTTTGCTGCCTGATTTTTAAAAAATAGTGCTTGTTGTGGTCACAGTGATTTAAATGCTCCATAAAGTGTGTATTTTCCCAGCATGTCTAATTTAAAATAAGTAACATACCCCCGTTGCCTGGCATGATTGTAACTGAACATACATCTCCTGCTTCCGACGTCACCTAGAGATGTATATGAGGAATGCTCAGTGCCATTCTCAGTGCCCTCAGTACTAACCATTGCCTTGTCTGCATTTGTGCCCAGGTCATACGCCAGCCCTGGCTTGCGCTCCTAACAAAGACGTGGCTGACTGCCTGGCACTCATTTTGGCTACCATGATGCCTTTTTCTCCTTCCAGTTCAATGACGACTTTCAACTTCGTTTGTTTTAAAAAAGACAGTTTGGGCAGGACACATCTCTGCGATGGCTCCAGTATGGGTAGCATTAACTCTTACAATAAGCCCTTGAGTAGTAACATAGGAACAGAGGATGGGTATAATGAAAATGACTCAGATTCTGAAACATTCTGACTTTTTGGTATTCAAAAACTTTCATTATTATTTCATTTCAGCTTTATTTTCCTCTTTTTAAATGGCTTAAATCCCACGCCTATATTCTTAACTATTATTCTTGACAAGTAGGTACTGAAAGATTTGTAGTGTTGATGAGAATCAAGCCTTTAAATAACAAAGCTAGAGGGATTTACTGGAACATGTTCCCATTAATGTTCTGCAGTTTTTCAGTTTCCTGATGTGTTCTTTAGGCCCTAAGTGCCCCTGTGGAAAGTCTCTACCTCTTATTTTAAGTAGAAAAAGAGAAAATGCCTTTTTTCTTTTTGAACTGTTTGTAAAAAGTTCTTACGTGTTTTAGCTGTACCTTTAGTACACGAACGTATTTCCAGTGTAGCCTTCATGGATTTGAGCATCACCCCTTTCCTCTGTTTGTCTGTTTTCTGCTTCCAGGGGCTCTGGTGGTTTTTTTTTTGTTTGTTTGGTTTTTTTTTGTTTGTTTTTTGTTTTTTTACACAAACCAAAGGTAAAGTTGTAAATCTTAAAACTTCCTGTAGTACTTTTCTACAGGAAATTAAACCTTTTACATTCTGCATGTATTAAGCACTTAAACCTACAGAAGGCACTTTTTACAGTTATTAGTTGCAGCACACAATTAGAAGAATATAGTTAGAAATTCTTAAGGCCAAATTCTCCTTGTCTCACCATATTTTCCCACAGACATTAATGGAAACACTTGTGTAAAATGAAAAATTACTTGGCCCCTACTTTTTTTCAATTCAGCACAAACATGTATGGTTTATTTGCACTACAGAATTAGGCTCATTAGATGTTTCTGTCACCTGAGCCATTAACCATGAATGAAGAAGAAGAAACAAAGAGGGAGGGGGTGGGGGGAATCAGGTGTAGACAAAGGTGTATGTAAAAATGTATAATGATTTGCCAACTTAAATGGATTTTTTTCCTTTTCTATGCTTAAATAACTTATTTTTACTATAAACAGTATTGAATTTTAAAATGCTTTTGCCAGTGTTTGGATTAACAGAGGTAAAGCAAGGAAAGCATAACACCAAAACACACGTAACACACAGCAGTGTACCGAGCAGGGGATCGGAGAGGAATGCTAAGAAAGCCTATTGTCACCAGCTTTTAAAGCAATGTCAACTTTGTGAATATGTTTACTCCTTCTGCCAAAGTTTCTAGGTCAAATGGACCACGATCCTCCTCTGCAACAGATCTACAAAAGGAAGAATGAGACTTTGTAAACAAAAACAAAACAAAAACAAACAAAAAGCTATCATGAACTAACCAGCTATACCAAGAGGACCAAAATGCTTCAGTAATTAAATGGAAGACTTTGCTACTTTTATTTTTTCTTGAAATGTGAGTGACATAATGAAGTACTTTTTCTAAACCATAAAAATACAAACTTTTGAGGTTATGAGGAGTCTTGAGTGAATTTTACATTATACGACGCAGGTTTCAAGTTGATATTTGTAACTGATGATGTGTTGACCACAATTTGTTCTTTTTTTCAGACTAAAGCATATGTTCATATACTTTTAATGTAAATGTGTTTATATTTATTTGAAATGAAACAAATGCCCAGGAAAAAATAACTGTGGCTTGTTCTCCTAGTTAGCATTTGTGCATAATATTTGACAAGATGCAAAATTAAATGTGAATCTAGGCAAGACTGATGGCCTGGGTAGAAAAAGGAAGAGCTGATGCATTCGGGAGAGTGCCCATCTTCTTGTTGGGAACGCAAAGATAAAGTCCACAGGCTATGTTGGTAAAAAGCAGAGAGCAAAACACCTTCCTTTGCTTAAGAGCATAAGAAAGGGATCCAGCCCCTTGCTAAACAAGTGAGAGAACACTGTACAGCTACAGTAAAGAGGGGAAGGGGTAATATAGCGTGGAGCCAAGGTGTTCAAGTTCCTGTGATTCATGCTCAGGCTGTCTGCAAGCCTATGTTCGTGCTGGGAGGATGAGATGAGCTTCCTCAGTGCACACTTTCGGCAGGGTAAATTAAAAGTTTTATTTTAGTTGCAGTTTTTAGCTGTGTTCCACTGAATTGTTAAAAATCTCTTGTCAGATTCCAGTTCTTTAGTTAGGGAACATATGTATATATTATTTTGTCTTGCTAAAATTAAATATTGTTTCCTTGAACATTAACAAATTCCCAGAGTTTACAACTAAAAATCAAAAGGGATAGTGTCTCTAAAGGTGAAAATTTCTTTTCCCTCAACTCTATATTTTCTGCAGTAGAATGACAGAGCACCTGAAACCCTGGTTTTCTCCTCAGAAATAGCACAGAATCATATTTTTATCATTGATTTTTCTCAACAGTTTTGCTTTTAAAAGTTGCAGAATAGCAATAACCACTGTACTTCAAGCAATGAAAATAGAGGAGAGATCAGTTGTTAAAGTTTTCAGTGGTGTCTGTTCCAAAATGAATAGAAATCCCAAATTTTGCTTCTTTTTATGTGGAATTATGACATTGAAAACAAAGAAATGGGAAATGGCTGCCACCTGTCTAACAGCAGGATCAGCCTTTTAATCTTACTTTAACCAGAGATGTAGGTGGGCTCCTTGGCAGGATTAGTTGTAAGTCTCACCCTGAAATACAGAAAGTTATACTATCCTACATGAAATTGCTTCATTAGGAGAAAACTAGTTCCCTTTACAAAGAGGGTGTTTTATTATTTTAAGCAGCCATTTAAAAAAATTCAGTGTTTTAACTTGCTGCCATACCGAGTTAATGAAAATATTCTTAATGTATATTTGCAATACCATGTAACTCTGGTAACTGCGTAGTGCAACTGCTGCCTCTTAATGATGTCTACAATGTTATCAAAGCATAGGTGATTACTGAGTTACTTTGATTCTTCTAGGAACCAAATCTACACTTTACTGATTAAACTTTTCTGTAAACTAACAATGATGTAAGTATGCAATATTCCAGAAATCATAGAAACATGATTTGTTAGCATCTTAAGGGCATTCGAAAAGTCATGTTTTGAGTAATGGTACATTTAGGAGGAAAATGTCATGAGCAAGACACTTGGAAGTACTCAGTATTGGTCTATCCCACATCTCACGTGAGTTACCAGAATCCTTTTTTTTTTTTTTTTGTATGCTAGTACATTAATCTGTAATATAATTTGTCACTTGTAGAAATAGATTTGTAATTTAGGGCAGATATTTAAGCATGGGAATAATTTTACTCTTGTAAATAATCACCTTGCCTTTCTGTGGACTTTTTACAAGAGTAGAGTTAATCATATGTAATTGTTGCACTTAACCTTGGATCCTGCAATTTACAATTCATGGATGACTTCTGTGTCTGCACCAAACAAAGGGTATTTGGGGAGGGGCAGCCGTCCGCCCAGGTGTATTAGCAGGATCTTTTCATCCTGTGTTTTAACCACAGCTGCAGGTGGAATCCATAGCAGGATGGGTCCCAAGTCTCTCTCATAAATACTGAGTTACAACCTCTGGACTGCCTGAAATTGCTGTGAAATAGCTCAGGGGATTTCTGTTCATCGCTACTAAAAGGGCACCATGATGTGTTTGGTACTTTTATGCAGTAAACAACTGCCAGATTATTGAATTAGAACAAACACATGAAATGAATTGTTTATCCATTGTACTGTTGAGAAACTTGGTTATGTATCTTCAGGACGATTTTAAAAAAAATTGTGATTTTTATTCTTAGTCATGTAAGAAATATTAGAGTGCCTTTTTATATTTGTGTATTATGAAAATGTTTTGTGAAACTCGTCTCTTTTTTTTTCATTTGAGTGTTATAAAAGCAATATATTACCAGTAAATTTTCATTTCAGACCTTCTTTGAATGTATAAAGTGTTTCTTCTTTTCATATGTTCTACCTGCATTGAAACGGAAATTAATATGCTAAATTTCTATAGGAATAATGTATAATTTTTGCAGTGCTGAAAATGCTTTCTTATTACACAAAAAGTAAACCTTAGGTCAGTGTTATAGGAAAGGGCGTTTTAAACTAGTGACAATCTGAGTGTGTGTATAAAATGTAATTTTATGCGTTTCTTATGCAGTGATCTACATTAAAGCCAATATCTTATGTTTTGTAGGTTTTGTCTTATATTTTATGCTTTAGCATGTGCAATATATCTTTACAAACCATGGTGATATGAATCTGGTGCCAGTGTTATGTTTTGCATAACATTTGTAATAAACAATATAAAATATTGTTTGATGGTTTCAGTGGGGTTTTGTCGGTATTGTTTGCTTTTGTAAATTGAAGTTTTAATGACTTGGGTAAATGTCATATACAAAATGAGGAAATATACTCACTTCAGTGAATGACTTGGAATTCAACCTGAATCTTCTCAAGCACAGTTTAGTAACTTTTTCAACTACTGAATGCTGTATTAATGTAATGAAGAACCCTAACTGTAAACTACTCTTGCAATGCATTCAGATGGTTATTTTTACAAATAAAAATGGTACAAATACTGTTGGAAAACTGAGTAGATTCTCTTTTTCTTTTAAAGGAGAGGAAAAGTCTTGTGTATTTAGCAGCGAAGAAGATGAAAATGCAACTCTATTTCTACTTTGTACTTCCCTCATATGTAACCCCCAATTGTCTCAGTCAGTTGATGTTAGTATTGCTCCGCTGTAGATTAGAAAACAAAAAGTAACATTTTTTTCAGATAGTAAATATTTTTCTGTTAGTTTTCACTGATGAGCAACAGGAGCAGTCTCATACATCAGAGGGGGGTGGTTGTCCCACACACTGAAATGCAGTGAAGGTGAGTGTAAGTTGTTAAAAGTGCTTAATTAAAGCAAACATATAAAACCCACAAACTAAACTACTCCTCCCCCCAAAAGAAACCAAAACTCAAAACCAAACCCCAAGCATAATCACAACCCCAGAACTGACACCAACCACCATTAACAGCGTCTTTTACGCGCTGAGTGCTTGAAGCCTTACGGATGGTGTGCCCAAGCTGCGCACAGGCCCGGGACCACAGCAGCCCCGGCCCGCCGGGGTTCGCACGGTTGTTCTCGGCACGGTGACCGCAGCCAGGCCCGTCCCCCGGCAGTT